CCCATATAACCAGTTATTCTATGCAGTCCACTCACAATACCAATTGTTAAATGGCATCATCTTGTGTTGTTTCAGCAACCATTTAGTGATTAAATATGTTAGCTATAATTTCCAGGAAAATCTGGGCCCTATACTTAGTCCTCCAATCTATATCTGGGAAGTTAAAATTTCCCCAAATGATACCATTCCCAATAGTATTTATATTATTACATACCAATAGCCTTCTTCCCCAACTGATTTTGAACCAAGCAGATGCTGTCTTATCCATCACTTCTAATTGATTTATTGTCTACCTCATCGTTAACATACTACGCTTGAGCCTGGGCTTTAGGGCTCACAGTCAAACTGCTGTAGGCCTTTCATCTATGGTGAGTTCAAGAACAATGAGTTGCTGCAGAGAGAGAAAAATGATCTGGAGTGGGACCTGAAAGGACTCCAAGGGGATCCAATGATAGGCCCATGACACATATGGAAGAAGAAAAAAGGGGGTAGGAAGTAACTCAGGGAACATGTCTGAGGATGCCATAGGTCAAGTACCACTATTTTGAAGGGACCTAGCTTAGAACCCAGAATGGTAGGATGGTCCTGAGTTTCCCTACCCTAGCCACTGATCCTTATCTTTTGGCCAACATGGCTGCTAATTCTAGGCAAGGGAGCCACTGATTTTCATCACTAAATGGCACAGTCTAGAATACTAAGCTATATGATCAGCCTTGGACCCTCAGTCCCATTTGAAAGAAAAAGAACTTCTTACTGATAAAACTGGGGATTGCAGCATCTCCTATGTACAATCATGCTAGTAAGGTTAGTGATGAAGAAGGCCTAGGCCAGCGGTTCTCAAACTTTTGGGGTTCTGGAGCCCTTTACATACATAAAAATTTATGCAGAGCCCCAACAGTCCACTGATTGTATATGTTGTACCTATCGATGTTTCCAGTTTGTCTACCTCACGGAACCCCTGGAGATGTTTGAGAAACACTGGCCTAGGCTAATGGTATGTTCAAAACTGAGCCTGAGCAAATCCAGCAACATTCTAGCCAATTTTATTTGTAAAGGCAAACAAGATCAGTAGAGAATAGGAATCTTCTCTGAGTGATTGGTTGAAAACAATAGAAAATTCTGGCAATGCCTTAAAACTTATTTTAAAATGGTTAAACATACAAAGATATTCATAGCACAAAGCTTTCCTTAAATCTAATTACTGCTATAAGTAGTGATTCTGGATTCTCAGTGGAATCTGCCGTGCATCACAAATATCTTAATGAAATTCAAAGAACATTGTTGGATAAAAAAATGTTTCTTTACTTGAATAAAGTAATTTTTTAATTTAACAAAGTGAATACCATTAAAATTCAATAATTTGATTTCAGTTATACAATAAAGTATATTTGCAGCTGTTTGGATAGTGTAGATGCCAAGTATTTAATGAAATGTGGTGAATTTTTAAAGGTTTATATGACTTTAATGTGTTTCTATTAAATGAAAACAGTAGAATAATTCAGCAAATTTAACCCATTTTAGACAGGTTTGGGTTTTTTTGTGTGTATTTTGGTTATTGATAATAGCAATTTATAAGACAGGAAACATACCCCAACTGTTCCTAACAGAGCACGTGCATACACGCACACACACATGATCCATCTTTATCTCCTTCCCAGGGTTTCATTTACTGTTAGGACTGTAGTCCATTGCTTCAACAATGCATTTTTCATGTTCTCTCTTTTTTTGTGGATTCTGGAGTGACTCTGAAGTCCAAAGCATGATGTGCATACTCATGAGCAGAACAGGCAAAGTTTCTGGTGAGTTTCTTAGTAGTTATAGTGGCGGTATGACACTTTTTCCTTGCAGCTAGCAATGGAATATTTCTGTCCTCTTCAAAGATTTGGAAAGCTCTAAGTATTGTTGATCTATTTGATGGACCCTTTCAAGATCATCCAATTCTATTGTACCTAAGTGCACAAATATGCTGTCCTTGTGATACTTTCTGGGATGACCATGATTCTGATGTCCTTGTATCAATTTTCCAAAGATTTTTTTTTCTGGGTAGCCAATGTTTAGGCATCCTAATGATGTGTCCAACCCACTGTAGTTGTACTTTTATCTGTTGGAGAACCTCCATGTTGATAATTATGGTTTGCCAGAGGATCCCCAAAATATCAAACAGAGGCCGCACATGGAAGATCTCTAGCTGTTTGATATGCCCTTTGTATGTGTTTCAGGTCTCATAGTCATAGAAAAGAGATATGAGCACAGAAGCACTGTAAAGATTTATTTTTGTTGAAGGAGTTATGCTGTGGGATTTCGGGTCCTTGTAGCTTTGCTAGTGAGTGAGAAGATTTCTGTATCCTGTTTGGTAGGGGTTTTTTTTCATGAGATTTAATCAAATTCTTCTATTCTCTAGTTTGAACCTACTTCTCTATTACTTACTTCTACATGTAACAGAACTTCAAACCTCTTTATATCCTAAGTTGAAGATAACAGATCATAAGTCAACAGAACAATTTGACATCTTTTTATACAGAGTCATAGAACCTGGAACCTTGATATACAGCAGCAAAAATTTATTTGTTAGCTTGTGTTATTCCATGATATATTTATATAATGAAATATCAGTTTTATTAGTTTCAGTCATTCACACCTTTTTAAAGAGACTGTGAGAATTTTGGAACAATATAGATACTTCTTATGTTGGACTAGGGCAAATTCCTATTTTGTTCTGTTAAGGAGAATCACTAGTTCTAATTAACAGTTCATTCTTTCACACTAGTGATCTAAAGTATGAAATAAGAATTAGCTGACATTTTTTCTCAGTTTTACTTGCATACTAATAGAAAAAATATTTCTTCTTTGTACACTCATTCCAATTCCTTCACATAGCTTAAAACAATCATCATACGAAGAGGATCCTTCGTTAATCTTCCCTAATCCTATGAATCTTAAGATCTCAATGTAGCCTTTTTTTATGTTGTCATCTAAAGCCTCTGCCCCAATAAAGTATAATGTAAATGTAAGTTTCAGCATAATATGATATTAGTTTTGTAACCTTTGTATCTCTGTAACCTTCCATTATGTGAGAAAGAGATCAGAAGAAATCTTGTGTTTCATCATGATCACACTGCTGTTCTTAGAAGTAATTAAAACCCAGGTTGTGTTTTAAAGAAAATATGGTGAATGATTACAAGTTTGTGTTAGCAGAAGGTCTGTATTGGAAGTAGTGAAATAATTGTGTAGTTCCTGGGAAGGGAGAGTGAATGATTTTGGAATGTGATTGTTTGGAGAGATAACAATTTATAGGCCCAGCAGTTTCAGAGTCCACGTGGTAGAAGAAGGGGCTTAAAGACTCATAGACATCAAAGTACCATAAATTGAGGCCTGAAACAAAGCAGACTGAGGCAGGACATTATGGACCCCAAACTGCCGCTTGCCGCCCCGGGCCCAGCTGATCGCTGCTCCCGCCAGGCCCACCTGAGCGGCACTTTTGGGGCCGCTTGCCACCGCTTGCTCCCTGCCAGGGACGTACATAGCCCCACCACCTGGCCATGTACGTCACCACCCCGCCCCCTTCCCCTCCCTCCATGGCGGCTTGGCTGAGTATTGCACACTCAGCTGGGCCGCTTCAGGGGAGGAGGGACAGGGTGGTGACATACACGGCCAGGGGGCGGGGCTGTCTGCGTCACCACCCTCTCTTCTCCTCTCCCTCGGTGGCCTGGCTGAGGGGCGCTCCACTCAGCACCACGGTGGGAGGAGGAAGGGGAAGCAGTGACGTAAACAGTACGTCAGCCCCCTGCATCCCTTCCCATCCCACAGGGGTCCCACAGCTGGCTGCTTGCCACCTGGGGCCCAGCTGAGCGGTGCTCCCTGGGGTTGCCAGGTGTCTGGTTTTCTACCGGAGAGTCTGGTATTTGCACCATTTGTCCGGCAGAAAAATTCAGAAAATACTGGACACGTGCAATGTCTGGTATTTTGTGAATTTCCAGCTGGGCGCCGGAGGGAAGCCTGGCGGGGGTGGGGAGCGACTGGGAGGTGGAGCGCAATTGGCTTTGGGAGCCCTGTGGTCGCGTGCAAAAGCCGGGTGGGGTGAGGGCCGGGACTCCCAGCCACATGCCCCCCCCGGCCCGGCTTTTGCATGGAACCAGAGGCTCCCCGGG